TCGTACCTTTTGAAACACCTCAGTGGAGAGTGTGGAAATATGTCGGTTTACCAGTAGTGTTGTGAAAATTCCTAACATTATTCCTATGGCATAACGTGGAACTTGTCGCGTTGTTTCTGTGCATAACAAAAGAAGCACCAATGATGGAACAACAAAGTACTATAAGTCCAGCAAGAAGCCAAAAACCAATCAGCGGCACGCAAACGGCTGGCGATGGCGCTCCAGACGGCGGAGAATGGAGGGCTTCTGGTAGGTCGGCAGCTGAAATATTGTTGTAGTTATCAAACTCTTCTTCAAGAAAACAAGAAGTGATTTGGAACATGTCAAAAGTACGTGTGGAAAGCAAGAGGAGAGAAAAGCAGCGGAACAGTTATTAATATCAGGCTTTGCTTATATTAGGGTGTCCGGAAAGATCTGAGAAACTTCAACCAATTCATCTAACACTCATTAGCAACAATCCTACTATATATAATCCGCTATGTGTGTCTGTGTGTTGTCTGTTGTGTGTGTTTTGTGTGTGTGTGTGGGCTGTGTGTCCACGAAAGTTTTCATATTCGAGCGTCGTTCGCAGAAAAGATAGGATGACAGTTCCAAGAAGTGATATACATGGCAGGACGGGAACACTTTTGGTGGGTGTCAGGAGGTGATAACACTTGATAAGATACGATAAGGGGCCGTAGAAGGGGAGGGTGACTGAATTCGTAGCGCAAGTTGCAGCAGGTGTGGGACCGTGATTTCAAGGAGTGATATACATGGCAGGACGGGAACACTTTTGATGGGTGACAGGAGGTGATGACACTTGATAAGATTCGATAAGGGGCCTTAGAAGGGGGGGGGTGACCAACATCTAGCGCAAGTTGCAGCAGCTGCGGGACCGTGATTTCAAGGAGTGATATACATGGCAGGACGGGAACACTTTTGATGGGTGACAGGAGGTGATGACACTTGATAAGATTCGATAAGGGGCCTTAGAAGGGGGGGGGGTGACCAACATCTAGCGCAAAAAAATGCCAGGCCAGTTGCTGCGGACCGTGATTTCAAGGAGTGATATACATGGCAGGACGGGAACACTTTTGATGGGTGACAGGAGGTGATAACACTTGATAAGATTCGATAAGGGGCCTTAGAAGGGGGAGGGGGGGTGACCAACATCTAGCGCAAAATGCAGCAGCTGCGGGACCGTGATTTCAAGGAGTGATATACATGGCAGGACGGGAACACTTTTGATGGGTGACAGGAGGTGATGACACTTGATAAGATTCGATAAGGGGCCTTAGAAGGGGGGGGGTGACCAACATCTAGCGCAAAATGCAGCAGCTGCGGGACCGTGATTTCAAGGAGTGATATACATGGCAGGACGGGAACACTTTTGATGGGTGACAGGAGGTGATGACACTTGATAAGATTCGATAAGGGGCCTTAGAAGGGGGGGGGTGACCAACATTCTAGCGCAACAATGGCAGCAGGATTGCGGCGACCGCTGATTTCAAGGAGCTGATATACATGCGCAGGACGGGAACACTTTTTGTTGGGTACAAGCAGGTTGATAACATTGATAAGATTCCGATAAGGGGCCTTAGAAGGGGGGGGGTGACCAACATCTAGCGCAAAATGCAGCAGCTGCGGGACCGTGATTTCAAGGAGTGATATACATGGCAGGACGGGAACACTTTTGGGGTGACAGGAGGTGATAACACTTGATAAGATTCGATAAGGGGCCTTAAAAGGGGAGGGTGACCGAATTCGTGGCAAGTTGCAGCAACGGCGGGACCATGATTTCAAGTACTGATATGCCGTAGGGTGGGGCTGGCAGAAGCTGATAACAGTTGATAAGATCCGATAAGGGGCCTCGGAAGAGGAGGGTCATCAAATTCGTGGCGCAGGTTACAGCAACAGTGGGAACTCAGATCCGTGAGTGTTTAGGGTGTGGACGGGCAACATTATTGGCGGGGCAGACAAGAAAGCGTGATAACAGTTGATAAGATACGGTAAGCGGCCTCGGAAGGGGAGGGTCATCAGATTCGTAACGCAGGTTACAGCAACAGTGGGACCTCTGATCCGAGAGGCGATACAGGGTGATATGATAGTGATACGGGACGGGAGTGTTATTGGCGGGTACGGAAGTGATAGGAGCTAAAATTGACAAGGTACTCTCCTCTTCATTACGGACTGTCGGGGCGTATCAGCCAGAAGGAGTGCGCACACTGTTTGAAGCCGTTATCAGCATTTTCGTTGAAAGGCGTATGCGACAAAAAGTGGTAGAAAACGAGTAATACGAAGGATATAATGCTGCCATGTCAAACTTTGTCGCTTCAACACCTGGTGCAGAAAGACTTTGGCACCGCGGAAAAACGCAGCCGCACTGACCCGCCCCGACAGTCCGTAATGATGAGGAGGTAGCATGGGAAAATCCGCTTCACCGCTCACAACAACAATGCGATCGATATGACTCAAGTATAACGATCTCAGTGATTCCAACAGAACTCATTCCTCACTGCTTATTAGTAACGACATCGTGTACGACCGCTAAGCCAGCTCTATTCCAAATGCATGTGGTTTGTTTACAGAGATGTTATGAACAGCAGCAACTGACTTTATCACTCTTACCACAATTATCTTCCATCAGCAACTTCAGTGAGGGCCATTTAAAGGGTTCCACTGCTGAATGCGGTAGTGCATTCCAAAGCAAGACGCTTTAGGAAGACAGATTGCATAAATTATAGGCTGCTTCAGTGGCTGTCCAAACAGGCTGCACTATTTCCGTGTAGGTTATGAACGTACCAGTCGGATCGCTGGCTAAGGCCGGCTTTCCTCCTTCTGTGATGCGGGGGGGGGGGTGCTGCTGCTGCTTTTGCGCCTTGACGGAATAAGCGCTGCACAGAAGGAGGAGTGCCCGGCGACAGCCGGGCGATCCGACTGGTAATAGATATAAGTCATAGTCATAGTAAAAATTGTCCATCCCAATCCCCATACCTTTTAGGCGGGATTACATTGTGTTTGAGCTAAAATGAAGTGAGTACCGAGAATACGGTACTACGGTACTATACGAACGCAACATCTGACCAGGGAAGGTCAATAGGACGCCATGGCCATTCAAGATGGGATGCATATCGACGTGTAGGTCTTGGGACGCTGAACTCAAATCTGCTTCCAAATTTGCCGCCGATCCTTCTTTGTGGTAGCACAGTTCGATAACTGATAGTACCAAGCGGTCGATGGTGTAGTGGATATGAAAGTTGCTTCACATATTCGATTCCTTGACATTTCCGCATTTTCGCATTTTCTCGGAACATCTTATTCGAGTCCAGAAAATACTTCTATCCGAAAATTTGTCGTGCTTGCACGCATGCAGCAGGAAAAGACTCAAATGCCTGCGACTGCGCTTCTCTTTCAAGACTTTTAGGCACAATTTACCTTTTACTTCCCCAATCATCCGAAATCAGACCAGTTTTTAAGCGACTCTTTTCTCCGTAGGAGAGACTCTTTTCTCCGTAGGAACTGACTAAAACATAGTCTCCTAGGGAAGTTTGACCCATGAATATCACATCCGCTTGGCAAGAAACCTCCTGGCACCCGCGCCACAGGCGCCGGCCCAAAATCACCATGTTCGCTGAAAACGAATTGAATTGAATTGTGAGAGGATAAAGGTTTGAACTACCGGAGTTCTTCCTTTTTGCGATACGCCACGCATGATACTTCCATTCTGAATCCCAGTGTCAATTTGAATAAGCTACGCAACGAGTTGCACGGGCAAGCCGATTTACGATTCAATTTTCGCTTGTCTTATAATGAGTGTTGTGACACAAGTCAGCGATCTTTTCCTCCAAGACAAGCGAACACGTAAGGTTTGGCCATCCTCAGCTGGTATGCAAGTGCCGATCCAAAATTTGTTTCCCCGACCGCTCCCGTGCTAAGAGGTGCTAGGTGATCAGGGCACATCATTGTTCGGGGATTTTAGTCGAGTCTGTAGACCCCCAACCCCACTTTGTTAGGGGATTGGTCAACCCCTCCCCCTCCGGCCCTCTGTTCCACCTCATCGAGTCGAGCCGTCGAGCGGGAGGGGGGCAAAGAGGTGGAGGGAGGCATACAGTACGCATGAAACAGGAAAATCTCGAAAAGTCAAGCACCGCTCCCACAACGCTAGAACGTAAATACGACCCCCCCTCCTCGTAACAATGACCAAGAACGACCCCAACGACCCCTACAACGATCGTGAAACGAGAAAAATCAACTATCAAAATAAATCTTTCCCAGCCCAAATACGAGCCCCCTATTGGGGATCAATGTGCCCTGTAGGTGATTGCACAAACTCTGCCATCAAGATGGGAAATTAAAAACTTTGTGCAAAAGGCTTGACAAGAGGCGACTTCAAGGGTCGTCTCAAAAGTTTTGCATTTGTCAAACAACTTACCAATGTCTTTATCGATGATTGTAAGTTCCGGTGAGGAGATGTCGACATCAATCGCTTCAGCTTCCCGTCGTCGCATCTCTCTCTTCAGCTGTACAACATCGCTTTCCACAACATCACCATCATGTTCGGGTATGTGATTAGCCCGAATCAGCGATACCGGCGTCGTTCGGTATTGTTTTAGAATTTCGATACCTGCAAGGAGAACACTGGCTTAGGTATACGGCAGTGATAACTTGAGAAACTGACCTGAGCCTTCAATATCATCTCCACTGAGTATGTTAACATTCTTACGAATGTAGTCATTGAGAGTGTCTGGCGTGGGAAATTCAACGGTCTTCAAAACCGAGGCGGTCGTCGTCGGTGCTGAAAAAAGTCAAAAAATCAGAACTCGGAAAAGTGTTGCAAAGTGTAAAAATGATTGAAAGTCCAAGTACAACAGCGTTGATGGCAGGGCACACCATCGCTACGAGTTCTCGGCAGGAGCTTTATTCGCTTAGCTACGTCTTTTTTGAATTTTTATCAAGGAGGGAAGGGACCAAGATCGACGAGAATGGGATGTTCGCTATAAGTTCGAATCTCAGCAGGTAACACACCATTTCATTTCCCAAAATGTGGCGACATGCTTACCACATTGTCAAACGTATTCGGGCCTTATTGCCGACCAATCGTGACCGCGAAGGGCGTTAACTGCCGTTATGGCCCCTGTGCTGTGGAAGTGAATGCAGTACATATGCTCCAATCATGATTTTTGTCCAATACCAAAGAAGAAAGGGCTATAAAATAAGTGCTTAATTACAGCTTGATCCAATCGTACTTTCTTGACTATTCGTTCTTACCCGCCTCTATGCGCTTGCGAAAAGCTTCACCATGTCATATACTGGGTACGTACGTCACCGTCACCGGCCTCATCGAGTCTATTTACAGTACTGCGGCACTTCCCTAATGAGCTCATCTCGACTTTGCAGTACTGCGACTGTTGTGCTTTAGAATGAGAACCAACCAACTAGCACCCATGGGAAACTGGAAAAGCCGCGAGGGAAATACGGTCTCCCCTCTCTACCACTTTTCCCGGAATTTCCCGAAAACTTCCCTACATCCCCCCAAAAATTCTGCTGTCTAGCGGGAAGGGGGAAGCACAGAAGGGAAATTCGACCCCACTCCTCCCAGCAGCGAGCAACTACGACTCCCCCCTTTCAAAAGTCTCTGAAACAAGAGAAATCAACTAAATCAACAAAAAGTGTTTCTCAGGCCGTTACCCTCTCCCCCCCCCCGGCTCTCCGACGATCAAATACCGACAGCCCTGTTGGGGAATCCCCAACAAACGATGTGCCCTGGGACGGACACATGAAAGCCGCACGCTGTCAGATTTACTACTTCGGAGAGCAGCATATCCACCAATGACTGGGGATCAATTGAGGGCTGATATTGCAGCGGATGATGAGGTAGTTATGGAGGCTCCTCAGCAAGTTGACTCAGAGATAGGCAAATTTAGGAAAAGCTCCTATGTAATACAGGAATACAGGAAAGCAGATATTACACAACTTACACGAACGCCTAGTTAGGGGAGCCTTGACTCTGGGCGGGATGGGTTCGCCCGCTCCTCAAGCATGTTAGGGTGAAAGTGCTATCCGTCTACCAGAGCTGTTTCTTACCCCTCACAAGCCAGGGCCACGACCGCACAGCACTCAGACAGGTTTGCCTGAGCACATCAGCTCGCAGCGACTCGCTGCCACGTCTGCTAGCACCCCCTCACTACATCTTTGACCTGGTAAACTCTGCCTTTGAACAACACTCGAAGTAAACGCCTGCCATTTGGAAAAAGCCATTTGAATCCTATTTACCTGAAGTAGACGTCAGCTCCGTGACGGTTGTGAATACGGTGGTTGGTTGTGGCATAGTGACCACCGGTCGATCAGTAGTTGAAGGTGACATCGTCGTTGTCGGCGATACCACCGTAGTTGTTGTCGACGGTTGTGTAGGAGTAATCAGCTGATCGCTGTCGAGATCGTTGGCAAGGGCATCGTCATGGGAACTCAATGGTCCGCAACGTGGTGGCTAAACTGTTCGTGTTTCCAGCCATTCAATATATCAAGTTTGTAAAATAGGATACCGTTATATGCATGCATCCATCGTCTAGTTTGTAGCAGATCCGAACTTGGCAGTTGAAATAAACCGACTGTTGATCAGGAAAATTGAAAGCACTAGCAGCCTATAAAAATAATGCAGGTAGCACTAACAATTAATAGTCAGTGATAATTAATAAGGTCAAGAATGGAAAATATACAAAAGAACCACTTCAAAACTCACTGTGAAAGACTTTGTGAGATCCGACGAGTAAGTGAGCTCGGGCATGAGGAACGTGTCTGTTGAGCATCTAAACTTGCAACTACAGTCGTTTTCGTTGCAGACGCCGGGGGGGGGGAGGGTTTGACTCGGTGGTTCTTCAGTAATTGAATTTAGAGCAGGTAAGCGACAACAACTGGTGAAAAACGACCTGGCACCGTCCAAGACCAGTCTTCTTTGACACGCCCCATCGTCCGCAGCGGAAACGACTATTTAATAAATGTTCTTGATCAGCTGTGCTGCCTTCCTTCTTCCATTTACTATCATTACGATACTTTGGACATTCCAATTCATTATCACAACTTGTTTACTCTCCACTGGCAGTACAAGGAAATTTGTGAACGAAGTATGAAAAAAAAATATAGCAGGGCCAAACGTCTGCTTATTTGAAAGCCCTCCTAGGCCTTTTTTCCTAGTAGCTATAACTTGCATTGAGTTGTTTACCAAGTCAGCTACTTTTTCTAGTTCGCACGAGATCGTAGGTTCCCAGTGGCTTGAGGAAAAATTACTGAAGTAATATGGAAGAAGGGCTCAAGGAAAAAAGCAAGGTGCAGCACTTGTGTTGTTACCAAGATCCCGCAGTGAAACACGCACTTATTGATAGAGAGCAACCAGAAATGATAGGGCGCTGACAGGTATCCGCTCTCGGCTACGGTCAGTAGTGTGGCTAGCCGTGAGGCAGCACGAACTGTGGAGACGGCACCCGGGCATCGCCACATTCCAGCCCCGTTCTCGTGTACTTTTGAGCAGAGAAAGTGGCAGTTACTGCAGCTGCAAACACATTCTCTCCACACGGCAAGAACCGGATCCACGCGATCCACGAGAGTGTACAATTTGTCGTGATCATGTCGTGCCTGGCTCATCAACGTGTGGAACTGGTCGACTTTTGCATCGTTCACCTACAGGATCAAGCACTTCTTCCTGTTCTGCTTCGACCACACTCGCGGGCGGGAGAATAGCAGCGACTCGTCAGAGTTGAGATGACAAGCATGGCCAGACATGGTCGCTGACCACATAGAATCAGCGACGATAGAACGAGGACAGCATAAGTCCAGTCGTACAAAGAGCACAGAGCACAAGGAGGCTTTAGACTTAAAGGCAGTGGCACGATAAATCCCTCAAGCGAGTAGGATTAATACGCCTGGCAGGATTGAATTCCGCAACCCTGAGCAGGCGCCACGTAGCGTTTTTCCCGGAAAAGGTACCCTTATAAGGCTCTATCAAGCTACAACATACCGACCCAAACGCCCACCGCGCCCGCCCGCCCACAAATGGACGACCGTACCTGATGCTCGTATTGCTTCATTTGCGAAGTAAAATATGAAGCGAAGGGATTGATATGAAGCGGCTGCGGTGCTGCATGGATATATGAGTACATACGTGCAGCCGTACCTACCGTAGCGGTTATTGGCAAGATGCCTACGGGAAACTCGTCCAAAATTGCTTTCTGAGTCATTAAGAACGAAGGCTTTTCCTTGCAGTTTTTGACCGTTTCACTTCGTTTTTTCGCCATTTCCCACTATATAGCGCCCTGTTAGCATTTTAGGACGAGTATGAAACTACCGTGCCAACTCCTTTAAGCTCGCGATAAAGGTGCTTTTGACACCCTTTCTCATGATCATGTGAAGCGAAATAAGACCGCCGATTTTTTGTGGTATGTAAACATCAGGGAACGAATCGGTGCAGAAAAAAAATTTCAAGTAAACTGACAAAAATTTTCTACTCAATCGAACTTACCCATCTGAATCAATAACTGTATGGTTGTTGCCTTGTCCATCTACGATAGAACAATCATGTATCATCATTCCATACACTTCGCTTGGACAGTCCCATACGTGGTAGATGATATCGCCAACTTGGGCGAGCTTTATTAAGGGGCCATTGGAGGACTCCTGCAAGTATTGAACATACCAAATAACTACACCACTGAATAATAACAATGGAGAAATGAAAAAAGAATGCCTATGCAAATATCAAGCAAAACGTGTAGCTATTACGTTCTTGAATTTTCTTCTGTGCTAGGAAGGCTGTTAGATGCTCTTACATATAAGAACGGTACAGTGAGTCTTACCTATTTGACTGACAACTAACAGAGCAGCAGCTTTTCGCTCCCAGAGTGGTGGATCCAGTGGATCTTTTCTCTCAGTAGAGATGTTTGTTGTATTTCCGACTAGGGCGATTTCTGTCGCTGGATAAGTTTTTTGCTAAATGCGATCCCCCTTCCCCATCTCTTATTGACA